TTTCTATCTCTATCTCTTTCGCGTATTCTCCTTCCCTCTTTCTGTTTCTCGCTTTACCTTTTGCGGTTGAGATTTTTCCGTCCTTATTTTTACTCTCCGCGTTTGATCAGCCCTCAATTCTCTCTCCCCTCTCCCCCCTCTCTTTCTCTCTCTCTCTCTCAACACGCGTTTCTCCTTCTTGTCGTTTCTCTTTTCACGTCTATTTGTTTCGCTTTCTGCATTTCTCTTAGTCTTTCTGTTTATTTTGCATTTACCATTCACTCCTTTTTCCTCTTTGTCTCATCTCCTTCATCTTTCGTTCTTTATGTCAATTGTATTTCAGTTATTCAGTTACACGTATGTTCTCGATCTGCTTCAACAATCCAACACCCCTGCATGTTGGAGAATAGCAAAAATCCAACGGTTTTTACTATTCTATTTATCTCCATTCTCCACTGTTCATCATAAACGTACGGATACCGCGTTATTCGATAATTGATATCATTTGACCATATAAACATAAATAAATTTTTTGTGGAGCAACTAAATATTATATATGTTTCAATTTCAAAAAATCTGAAATTATCATTTAGAAAATCAATCGGATTATTAATAGGTGATTTAATATAACTCTAAATAATCTATTCTTTATTAATATGTATCGTGTAATTATAATAATTTGAACAGAAGCTATGAATTAAACGGAATATTAAAATTGATAACAAATATACCATTATCGATAACAAATATTGTATTTTATATGTCTAACAAATCTTTCTTAATTCTAATATTTCCTTGGAAGTAAAGTTTCGTATAAGAAATCTTTTCCTTCCAGATCTTCAGATTTCCTCACTCTCTTTTTAACTGTACGAGCCACTGTATTTCGGCCAGCATTTAACGTCAAAATTATATAACGTTGCAACGCGGAATGCAAATGCGCGATCGTTAAAAACCGTAGAATTCTCCAGTTCCAAAGTTTCTTCAGGACAATTCAGTCGTTTTTGTAATTACTACAGCGTTACGGCACACTTTCTCTAACAATAGTGGCTTTTGGCACTCGTATCGTACGTTACTTTTATGTCGGGGCACGGTTGCACGTGTCTGGAAGTTTTCACCAAGCACCCTTTTAGCCAAGACTTCTTTTCCGCCCTCCATATACCGACGACATCCACACGCACATACAAACACCTTGCGACAAACTTCGCTATTATTCGCGTGTCTTTGCGACACAAATGTGAGAGCTCATGAACCTTAATCCCCGTTAAAGCCGCCGTCACCTAGGGACGGCAGATTCTCGCGTTTGTTTTATTTTGATTTTTTTTTCTCTTTCGCATTTATCACGCGCACGAAGCTTTCCTCTTTCCTTCGTCTTCTCCCTTTTTTTCTTTCGTTCGCGCGCTAAATCAGGGAGGCTTTCAGTATTATCACGAATATTTATTATTCCAAGAGGTTAGACACGCGCTCGGAGGTTACATATTTTATCTAAATTCGTAATTTTCATGATTCGATTTAGATTTACAAATGCTCAAACATTTGCTTACTAAAAATGAAAATATAGCTAATGTTGTCAAATTTCAAAATCGCGTCAAATTGATGTTGAGAATCAGTCGGTTCGTTATCTCGTTGAATCTATCATTGGAATATTCTTCCTCGTAATGACAGAGTTATATAAAATTAGTAATAAATTACGTGCTATCCTGTTTACATCGCACACACTCCCGCATTAATACTTGCCGCGATCTCTATGAATTATCAATGAGATAAAGGAAGAGAAAGATCCGGGGTGAGGTTAGGGATAAATATAGTAATGTGATAATGGCGACTTACGTTTGAGAGATCGAGGCTTCGCCTGCTTCCTCCTGGACATATCACCGCACTGGCACGCACTTGCGAACGTGGACGGGGACACGGGGGATCAATAGCCGCTCCTCGCCGGCATGTCACTCGCGGCTCTTGTCAGAAATTCGAATTTCGAGTCGGGTTTTACTGCCACGCGTGACGTTCTCTCCCCGTCAACGGTCTCATCCGCGGGGAAATAAATAACGGGGCCGCGAGCGCGAGACTCGAGCGCGCGACACGCGTGAAGTTGGCTTCGAAGGTTCGCGCGCGCCGCGATCGGGAATCGAACCGGCGCGCGATACCACGTGGTCTGGCGGCGCACGAAGGGCTTGACGGACGGGGCGCGCCTCGCGTGCGGACCGGCAACAGCCGCGCTCGGAGGACGCGCGACGAATGGCGCGGCCGCTGCGCGCCTTCGGAGAACCACTGGCGCGTGCGTCGCGCAAGCGTGCGATCCTCATGAACGTCCTGCGCGCGACACTCAATCGGAGATATTCGACTGTGAATAGCTCGCGATCGGAATAAGAAATAAAGAATTGAACGTAGGAAAAATAAGAAATAGACAACTAAATTTTGACATGTGGAAAATCATGCTTCGCTATACAATCTAGAAATATCAAGATATTCTTTCATTCGAAAGTAATTTTCTGTTCTTAATTGTTTATGTTCAATTTTTTATTTCTTACTAATTGTGTCTAAATTGATTCTAAACATTAGGTGAGCATGATTTTTTATGCGATTGTGAATAGAGTATAATCACTAGAATATAGACACGTATATACGAGCATGTAAAAAAAATTGTTAAAAAAATTAATGTTATTAAAGCATCTTTATTGTTAATATCCATGAAAATATATAGATAGATATGGAATATGAATATGAGAGTCATCATCTTTATATGCTAAATACGTTATATTAGGCACAGATTTCTACCTTATCGTTGGCGGAGAAGAAACGGAATATGATAACGCACCGACAGGAACAATACGCGTGAAATATTGTTCTTCATCAAAAAGATATCTACTGTTCATTTTCGACATTAATATTAGTCTACAGAATTTAATAAAATAATTCTCTAAATTGTCCTATATTTTAAAATATTGCAATTACTGTTGCTTACTCAATTACTGTTGCCAATCAATCCGCGAAACTCTATACGATCCGTCACCGACGCCATATGCAATGTTTGATGTTACTACGATCGCATGGGGTACACTTGACAAAACTTTTCGCATTTCAAATAAAAACAATATAAGTATCATAACAAGGGACGGATTTTCCGTTTAAATACGCTAAAATTTAATATGATTCCTTATAAATTATATCCACAAGATAGATCGAAAGCCAAAATCCGATCAAATCGATATGTGAGCACACGTGATTTAATCTAATCGGGACGTACGGAAAATCAATATTGTTGTCGCAATGCCAGCATCCGGCAGTGATTGCACGATGATATCGGGTCCGATATTTCACGAAAAACTCCCGATAACATTTCGATGCGCGTGATTCATTTTCTGCGAGAAACACAAACGCGATTTATCCAAAATGATGCGTTCCGTCGACTGATCGCGATTCGAAATCTATCGAACGTTGTGATCTTCGAGATATCGAAGCTCTCTGAGAGGGCGTTAGTGCACGGAGTTAAGCTGATTAAAAACCATTGATTTAAACTCATATAATTGTAAAAATAATATGTACCAGTACCAATACTAATACCAGTTTTATAAGATTCCACATGTTCTATACAGATACAACAGGCTATAAAACGAGTATTCTATAACTTGTTTTGTCATTCTTCGTTGATTCCTCTTGAGAAAACTAATAAATATTATTATGATATTATACAATAATATTATACAACATATGTAAAAGGTGAACTTATTATTTTGTTTATACATATGGAACGGCATTTTTTTTTAATTTTCGTAACCATGTCCTGGCTTATAGTATCCTTCTTTAAAATGTATAGAACAAATAGTAGCTGTTTCACGTACAATTATGTCTTTTAAATCGCGCAAGCTACTTTTTTTTCTTTTCTTTATTCTTTGGAAATCTAAAAAAATTTGATACACACATATACACACACGTATAATAAAATAATATAAATATATGTAAATTTAACATGTTTCTATATAAATTTATTATATAATTTGGAATTAATTTGTAATGTTTTACTTACAAATAAAATGAAATCTTTTTACCCTTAGCTTCATTTTCTAATTGTTTGTAGTTCTTTTTAACATTGCGATTTTTAACCTCCAAGTACTATACAGTAACTCATATTGACAATTTTTCGACTTTTTCACGTTCCAAAGCCAATGAATACAAACCATTCATGTGCATACACACAATTAAGTGAGCCGAATCTTATCGAAGATAACCGAACTTTATCGAAGTCAGTAATCCCCTTACGGCTATTATTACCGCCCCCTTCGCCTTACTATGCTGTCATACAATCAACTACGACTCCATCTATATATTCTTAAGTCCATTGTTATAAACATTTTAACGTGAATATATTTTCGCAGGATCGTCATCTTTGATATCATTTTGTCAGTGCCGAAACGCGTGTTTATCCCACTCTTTCGTATGCATGACATTTCGACGTTCACTGACACTATCATCACACGTAAGTTTATGCTTTTTTCGCTTTTCGTTATCAATATCTCCATTGTTTAGGTTAGAATAAGCTTGACAATTCATGGATGTACGTATTATAAATAAGTGGAAAACATAGAAATTTGTAACTATATCTTAATAGCTCGACAATTTTCTCTGATATTATTTCCTATTTATTTTCTATTTTCCTTTATCAACTATCGGAGCAAATGCAAAATAAGCCACTTGTCATTTGCAGAAAATGCTGGCGTTGGAGCGCATACCTGATCAAACAGGATACTTGGTGTTAACCGAAGATGGTGCCGTATTGACGGTAAGAAACCGCTTCTGATGATGCTTCTCTTTGTTTCTTTATAATAATAAATGGAATTTTTAAAAAATCTAAAGACTTTTGCTATTCTATAACTAAATGATATACCATATCAAAACCCTAGTATATTGTTCACCTTGGTTGCAAAGTCCAGTGGCACAAAATCGGATGACATCTAAATATGTTAAAGACGACCCATTAGCCCTCAATTATTATCAATGTAATTTTATTAATGTCATTTCTTAATAATGTAAATATCTAAACCTTATCATATGGAATCAGAATGGATATTGAGAATAGTTCAAATTTGAATCAAGACATTTGTATCTTTGTACTTTCTTTCATTACATAGTAAAATATTTACATTCAGTTAACTGCACCTGACTCTCATTAGCTCTATTTTTCTTTATTTAAATGGAATTTTGTCTATGTTGTTGCAGTCTGGAGGAGATTTGGAAAATGATGAGAGAGTGGCAAATATTATCAGTAATTTGGTTACATTGACGAATAAAGTTGACCCAAAGGCGTTTCCCTCACATGATCCTTTTGAAAAGATATCGATTAAATATAAGGATCATTGCTATGTTGTATGTCTCTCCAATAAAAAGATTTATGTGGTAAAGAGAAAACTACAACCTCCGACTGTGGCGATCGTCGAGCAGCAGCCTACCGTCGACGTTTAGATACAAATAAACATATGTTTATAAAACAATAAATCTATTCTTTGTAAGCTTTGATATCTAATACAAGTTCAATTTCTTGTCATCATTCTGAAAAGTTTCTACTCACTGTTATATATCTATAAGAATATATGTATTCTAAGAATTAAATTAGTGCAATGTAGTTTTAGGGAAAGATACATGCCAATGCCATGGCTTCTTTCGATTTCTTAAGTAAAATATTCTTCCAATATGTAATTTGATGAGAATTATGGCTATGATTAGTCTTGAAATATATTTTTTATCAAAATATTTAAAAATTTTTTTGTATCATACATTTTATTTACAAATATATTATACATATATACATATACAATTTTAAATTCGGAATATAAAATACTAAGTGTCGCTATCGGTACTAGAACTATCATAATTTACTAAAGACATGCTCGAACTGGCTTTGGAGGTAGTAGCATTATCCGTTACTTCCTGTACTTTTGGTGATTTCTGATTTTGTGGTTTCAATCGATTACTTGAAGATATATTTTTTCTATTTTTAGATCGTACAATCGAAACTAACCGTTTCAATTCCGTGCCTCCTTTCTTTCTTGCATCTGGAAAGAAAGCATTCGTAATGTATAATAGACAAATTAAAATTTACATTTTAACTTAAATGCTGAATAAATACTTTTTTTATGGGTGAGTAATTTGGCTAATTTGATGTCATCTTCATGTTCGTTTACCAAATCAATATTCAATCCAGTTTTTTTTAATAATGCATGATCTCCAGCTTGTTTTTTCTTAAGCTCCTGTTTCCGTTCCTACAATATAAACAATACAGGTCAAGTAAGAATTGAAATCTATTATTGGAAACTTAACATTCTATTCATAAATAAAAATTATATATTATAAAAACAAATTTTATTATTATACCCGAAATAAAGCCCTCACTGCACAATTGGAGCTGTAATCATCTTTCCAAATACTCTCATTCAATGCTATTGCACCTTCCAGTATTGAATCTCGAGACTTTGCTACTTTCTTATCTTCCATGCCATGTTCAAGCTTATACATTGCATCATCATACAATCTATGGGATACTTCTTTCGTCTCTGGTACTACTTGTTCATTTTGCTTAGGATCCCATCGATTTTCCTGACGTCTTGCACCACTAACTATGACATAATCTAAATTCTAAAAAACAATAAAAAGCATATTAGAAAAATATTATAAAAGCAATTCATATGCATTAACAATTATGCTTACAGCAGGATCAGTTTTTATCTCAAAGTGATTGTCGCAGAGATGACACTTCATGCGAAATTGATAGAGCGGAGTACTGTAGTACATTCCAATCTTTTTTTTCTCTGCATTATATCGTACACCCATGCCAATGTGATTTCCGCATCCATTACACCATATATTATAGGGCATTTCAAATCGTATGATTAAGATGCCCATGTGGAGTTTGCGGGCACGCTCACGTAATGCGTGAGTCCCCTGGAATTTATTCAGACCACCAGCACGGGGATCATAGTCCGGTGGATAGTACAAATTTGTTCCCTTCCGTTCTCCCATTGTGCTGCAATTTGTTTATATATAAAGTAAATTAAAAATATAAACATCTAGTCGATAATAAATAATTATGTAACTGAATGACAATTGTCATCCAAAAAAATTTGTATCATCTATTATCAGAATCTGCTTGTATCTGCAACAATTATTATTATTATTATTATAAATTATTGTACCTTAATTCTCTTTCAAAACTTGAGGAAAAAAATAAAGCAACTGGATTTTCTTGAAACGATCTTTTTTACAAACTAGACTCGTGAGATGTCAAATCTCGTTTTCTCAATAATGGAAATAGGTTAAAATACGAATTCCTTAGACAAGTAGCGACATCTTTCCAACAAACTTTAAGTTGAGAGAATACTGTTCTAAACTAATTACCGACATTTTTTTTAAAGTAACATAAAATTTTGAAATAATTTTTGAAATAATTATAGAAGCTAGCATTCAGAAAAAAAGTGCTGATTATTTATCGCAATTTTAGTTATTTTTATTAACTTTTATTAATTCTAACAGAGTTCTATCTCTACAATCATTTTTAAACAAAATTTTAAGCGAAGTTCTGAATACATGTGTGTGCTTCTAAAATTAGAAAATTAATTATTTCGAGACGAATTAATGATTTCGTTAAGCAGAAAATATCATTGATAGTACATTTTTTTGTATTCAATTTCAATGGAAGATGGTAATCCTTAGCAATGATGAAAGATACTATTTTTCAGTAGAACAAATCAGGTTTGGTAAAATAATACATTTGGTCTTTGCTAAAACCAGCCCGAATAATGATATAACTTGCGCGTTGCAAAATTTTCATATAAAAATGGATGTTTTTATAGTTTTAGCAATATAGCTTCTAGATACATTATATATTCATATGAATAATTAAAATCATAACTTTCTAATGCAAACATTTTCGCTTATAAAATTCAGACGGATGTTTAATATAAAATAATTTTACATTTATTTATTTAACAAAATTAACATGTACATAAGATATATTAAGATCATTTTTTTTTCCATGGCTGTAAGTCTCTCTTACGAGCTGCATTAATTCTGACCTCTCGAGACTTACGTAATCAGGTTCGCCACGATCGCAATTGGCGAACAAATAGAACGCAATTGAGAGTTTTATCACAAATTAAATAATTATATATCTTAACAATAGTCGTGTAATTAACGTTGGAGATGTTACGTCTTTAATATTCGAATTCTGGTTTTCTGATTTGCTCGCAGAATCCGCATAATCGTTTCTCTTTACAGATCGAGATATTTATACGGGATGTCTCAAAAGATTCAACTTCAAATCTCCATTTTGTTCGAGTAGGAGTCTTTCGAGGCACCCGGTATAACTGTACGACACACTTCGGTGTCGTGAACTCCGTGCGCCTCAATGATATGCGAATCCTTCGTCTGGATGTGGGTCGTTCTTTTGTGCTGGCTCAGAAACGTATCCTGCAGATTCGCTTTCGCCGATTTCTTTCCCTCTCCGTCTTCCGTGTGCTCGCCGAAAGTTCTTATCGTCCGTAAGGATACAGCCATTTGTACCTGTATCTGGCCGGACGTGGATAATACGCAACCGCGTAGACCACTGCAACAGAGAGCACAGTTGCGTGCAATAAAATACGTATTGGACATCCTTTGTTTTTAACAAGTGGAAAATATATATCAATTTTTCTCGTTAAAATAGAGAGTTTAATAATTCTTAAAAAGTATATTATACCAAGTGTAAGACAATCTCCTACGAGTGCCACTTTAAAGCAACGTTTGTTTTGGATTGTGCATAATAATGTGAGGATTTTTTTGATATAAAGAGAAGATATTTTTCTCACTTTTCTTGTTGATTAATTTTTTTAAATTTGACATAGCCTATATATTATGCATAATATTAATTGCCAGGAAAATATATATATTTAATCTCGGGTTCAGGATGGAAATATACTATTTAGCAATGTGTCGCATTGCTAAATATGTTCTACGCACTTTTTATTTTAATTTTTAGGAGACGGATACGATCTGGACCCCGAAACATTTTCATCGTACACCGACGAAGGTTGCGAGAAACTTTTGAAAGGATTACTTCAGACGCCCGCGCCTGAATCGCATTCGTGCCGACGCCTCGTTACTTGCCTCGACCTTACAGCCGATGGAGCCTCGTCTTCTGCAACGACGCGTATCGCGCGAGTCGTTTGGCGAACGCCCGCCTCTGGAGGGCGTTTCTCTTATGGAAGTGATCCAGCGTGTCGAGAGCTGAGGTCGGTATCAGCGATCCTTGGCTCTGCCAGTAGTAGGCCGACGGCATCGGGTTAAGGAGCGGCACCCTCAACGGGCCGCCCAAGCTGCCATGAAGGTAATTCGCGAACTCGGGCTGCCCGTGAAAATTTACATGCGGCTGCAACTTGGGCAGATCGAGACTGTCCGAATGGCCCCCGAGAAGGGACACCTTCAAGGGCGCGAGCTGCGGCTCGGTGTCCACGGACACGCTCGCGTACACCGACGTGCCGCCGTCTTCGTGCGGCAACTTGGGCGGCAAAGCGCCTATGTTGGGAATCTGCTGCAGCAAGTCCGGCTGGATCGACAGATTGGGATCCAGGCCCAAGTTCGGGAAGTGATGATGCGGCGGCAGGATCGGTAATTCGGGCCGTAATTGGTAAGCGCCGTCTTGAGCAGCGGGATACTTCTGCCCGTAGTTGCCTAATGCGTCGGGGGTGTTTATGGGATAGTCCGGTACACCGTAGCTTGCGACTGGATACTTGATGGGAAGGTTCGCATTGTTATCGTTGTGGTGACTGCCCTGCTGGCCAGCTACGATCTGATCCTTCAAACCGACGCTACCCTTTGGCACGCTGTTCAAAAGATTCTTGATGGTGGAGGTTGGCCCACCGAAACTCTCCTCTAATTTGGCCGGATCCGGACCGTTTTGCACCGCCACGTTCGTGTGCTGGTCGTTGTGCTCGTCCAGGTCAGATTTCGTCGGTGTCACGATCAGCAGGCCGCCCTGGCCGTGGTCTGTGAACGTGACGTCTGTCAGTCTCGTCGGCGAGTTTATTCGGTGCTTTAGGGTGTTAAGTATAGTATAAGTTCGTTAGTCGAGTTGGAGCATAAAAGCGGATACTGTCGAGACCGATTAGCACGTTGTTGCACGTGTGCGCCGAGAGTATTGTAACGTGTCCGTCGAGCAAGTGCCAAGGGTAACATGACAATCCACTTCTGGATGCGCACATTCGATACACGAATGATACACTAACACATATTTGCAGGGAATCATCACAGGCCACAATACAGAGTGCGTTTGTGTCACGCTAAATTTCAAAAAAAGTGTGTTTTGGATGTGGATAAAGTGACAACTGGAGCGATCTCTCTATTTTCTGATTACAGTGTCCCAGATATTTGATAAAAATCATCGTATGCTGTTTTTACCAAATAACACGTTTCACGACGGAACGTTATTGTTATTATTTTTCTATATTAGCGTCGTTACAGACATATTACGTACATACACACACACACATATGCATTCCAAATTAAAAGAAATTGAAGAAAAGTATGTCAGGAAATATAGCTGTATCGTAGCTACCGCCTCTCGCCAACTTTCGGGGAAAGTGAAAGGTCGCGTGCTGGGTACATTCATGGGAAAACGTACGCGAATCGTGAAACGAGACGTTCTTCCGGGAGGAGTACATTGACATTCACCGAGTTGTTCGGCGATGATGACGTGCGATACAGAAAGGGAAATTCGGGCATCTTCAAGCGAGTTAACGTGTTCCGAGAGAGGATCGAAAGTATCGGCATTCGATAAAATGTCAAAGATATTGTAATTATCAGCCAGAACTCGGTAACAAAATTTATTCGTGAAAGTGACATTTGGTTGCACCGAAACGAATAAATTAAGGCACGTAACATCTTCCGCAGTTCAAGTCGTTTCGAAATTCCAAGAGAAAATGAAGAAACTCAAATTATTTTTTTCCGCTCCACATGGAAGCTGTTCTCTTTCCGCAAATAATTAATTCCGCTTAATAAACACCAGAAATATTAGATGAAAGCAGTTACACTTGTCAAGTTCTCATCAGCGTGTTATTACTACGTGAAGTTAATTGCCGGTATTATAGAAAGGCGTAAAGATACGAGAAATTCCGGAATACAATTTCAAGGAACTCTACGATGTTACGGTTCTACATACAAAGATGAAACCTACCGTCTGATGGCACACTGTAAGTTCCGTGTGGAGAAAAATCATTGGGTCCTTCATGATAGTCATCGGAGCCTGGCGGTGGTCCTACAATTTCAAAAGGAGGTAATTTGACGGATTTACGTAAGAAGAAATAAAAATCTTACTTTTAATACATCTAACTTAATAATTAATTAGAAAGATCGAGACAACGTTTAATCAATGATAACGATATAATACGTATGTCTGATAAAACTTCATCATAAACGACGTCAACCCATTTCTTTTTTACGAATTGTGACATTCGAATTGTTATCGCTTCTCGGATTCGAGAAAAGCATGTAATACTCGGTTGGTATTCGAACGCGTAATTACCGTGAATATCCGGCTTCAATCCGGCTCGTGAATACTAAAATGACTTTCAATACCCTGCCATTTCTCGATATAAAATTACATCTTTGATCGGTTTCCATATCTAATCGGTTGAATACGTAGACAAGTGAGCGTACAATAGAAAGCAAATGCGTCAAGTTTTTAGTACTATGTACGAGCATGTTTGTAATTTCCGCGTGTGTGTATATGTGTGCAACTTTTTTTAATAGCTTTCTAATCGATCCTTCACCGTCGTAATAGCGCCGTCAAAAAATTCAACAGATTTTGCTCGTTAAGCTCACCTATCGGCGGATGATCGTAGTAACCTTCTGGTTTCGGTTGCACGCTAGCCGCCAATTGTTTACCGAAGGAGGTGATAACGTCCCCCGCTTTACTAACAACTTTGCCTTTACCCGCCAGTAAGTAACCACCCCCTTTGACCAGTTGACCTTTGAGAGCCAACACGCCACCGCCTATCGCCTTGAGCGCTTGGTACAACGTGCTAAAAATCGCCTTCTTGAAATCCCACGGACCGAACGGCTTCTCCTCATACTGAAGAAACAAGATCAATGTCAAATTATGTCACGGTTGTAATTTAAATTGTAATTTATTGCGTAACAAAATAAAACGTGAACTTAAAAGTAGCTAGGAAGAAGTATATCTTCTTCATCTCTCCTCACTGACATCCTTCTCCCATTTATTTTCTAATTGATGTATTAAATTGCTCGTTACTCAGCATAATAGCTTGTTTAACAACGCTGTGATTTTCACTTTGCCATGTCATTTACTTTAATTGCCATGCGGAATAAGAAAAAAAATATCTTCACGATCGCGATCGTGAGCGCGGGAAAATAATAAAAAAAGAAAAAACTGAACAGAATCAAGAACCAGTTAGAATTTCGCTCCTTTGAAGCAACGTGGACGACCTACATCACATTTCCACGTACCCAACAACTTTTCCTTTTTCTGCGGTTGTACAGTCTACCAATTAATTAATTTTACCCTTTTTTTTTCCAGGCTTTGTTTAAAGATCCCATTTTCTCTGTGCCATTACTCTACCTTTTGTTATCAAAATTCGAATTTGAAATTCAATTAAAACAAGAACGCACAAGCAGAATGTACACTGCATATTGAAGTTTATCACATATTTAAATGAAGCCTCGATATTACCGAGTGGTAGGTGTGCTCCACCGTAGGTGCACCGTATATCGGTGCCTTATACGCCTGTTCGCTGCTACCCGCTGATGCCTTCGCCGCGGAACCACTCGACGCACTGGCCACCCCACTTAGCACCCCGCCCGCTATGCCGGTTAGAAGACTGGCGGATCCGTAATCGAAGCCCCTTTTTATTCTGTCTCGCATCAGGGCGGCGTATCGCGGATCGGCGATAACGCCGATGGTTATCATTTTCTTCTCGTCGTCGAGCCTCTTCGCGGCATCCGGCATCTCTTCCGCCTGTTCGGGCGAGATCTCGGGTATCTCCCATGGTACAGCTTGCTCCACGTCGCTCTTTGTCCCGTCCAATTGATTCTGATCCGCCAGAGACTTCCAGGTCTCCAGCAAGTTCGAGAGATCCTCCGTGCGATCCTCCGCCGTTCTTCTGTACGGCGCTAATCGCTCGAGCTGCTCCGCGGCTCTCTTCATTAGCGTCTCCTGATCGCCCTCCGCCATTTCTGCTGACCGAGCCGCCACGACTATCGAGCACCACGTGACCGTCAAGAGTTCAAGGACCAGCTGAAAAGCATGACGAAACGACAAGAGCAATTACAATCGTCGATAAATTTTCATCCATTATTTAGGAGCAACTTTTATATCGAATATGAAAAAAAAGTATCAAACAAATGTTTCGCCTTCTACAAAAACGCATCATTATTATCATTGTTATTTTTATTATCGTCATAATTATTATTAATTGAAGTACGAGTCGAAGTTTACGACGACATCGGATTAATGGTCAACGCCCGGTGAGCTCACAGATCACGATACGGTCTGCGGCTTAGGGAAGGTCTCTCAGGTTCGTTAAGCGCCGCGTCGTTTGCTTAATTGCTAACGAGACGTTTTGAGGGTCAAGTGTTGATTTCCGAATTGCTCGAGCGTAGAGCGCATCGACGGGAGCAGCGGCAAGTAGAGCGATGCCGGGTGAAAGTCACACGGCTACCGGCGAGGCGCGCTCGCCACGCGGATCGCCATACATGACTTGAGGCAAAAACGGCTGTCTCGGGAATACCGATGATTTCACGTAGATATAAATATGCGAGACAACTAAAAGTGAACTGTTGCTGATTAGCGATAAGACAAGTTGTGCAATTTGTATCTCTCTCCGCAGAACAATTCCGTCTCTCTTCCGGGTTTCGGCAGTCAACTTTCTTGAACAGAGTCGCAGTGTCGGGCCAGATATGGAAAAAAGAAATGATGAGATGATTATGAGGCAGATACGAAAAACGGTAGAATTATCATTTCCGATGTCCAATTGAATAATTCCGAAGTTTCGCCGCGGATCGTCCCACCTGAATGAGCGAGAGAGTGATCAGCGGCGTAACCTTGATCTTGCACACGTAGAGTCATTGGCTGACCCAGTTCTCTAGTGTAATCATTCGCTGTGCGTATTCTCGACGATTTCTAAAAAGGATAGTATATCAAACATTTGCTGATAAATATTTCCGTATCAAAAGCAAAATCGCGCCTCTCGACCGGAAGCTATTCCCACAAAGTAGAAAGGCAAACGAAGTAATATTCTTCCGGCTCATAAACTTCTTTGCAGAGTCACGTGTAAATTTCCTGTCACTCGGGATGGGATTATATCATTCGTTTGTTCAAGTTCCTTTCCTTCATCTTTCGTCACATCGTATCAGACATGCATAATTTATGGAAAGTGATCTAATTAGAAAATAAATCACAGAAGAAGATATGAAAGCAGCATATAAGCGCGAGAACTAAAACTTTCCAGTAGTTTCGCAGCCTATTCATGGCCTATAGATTTTTCGCAAGGCATTTCCGAAGTGTATGTCTGTGAAAAAATATGGAAAATTCAAATCTTTCTTCTCTTCGCAAATAAAGGTTCGACGCTTCGAGAGATTCGCGCACGCAGAATCAACAGATAGATTTGTTTAACGAATAATCAAGGAGAAATTGCAATGGAGATAGATAAAACGACGTAAGCGACGGCTTAATGCATAGTGCAGTTCCCAGGGTGAATTGTGCGAATTATGATAAACAAAACAACTCGTTGAGAGATTGGCTTGCCATTTGTAGAAAGTGAAATAGTACGCGGATGCAAATGGCTTTCGACAAACGTATTAACGATGCAACAATTATTTCTTCACGGCTAGGAGCCTTTGCACCGTTGGGGAACAGGATCGGATAATTTTCCACATTGTTACAGGTGTGAAACTCGCGACGGCGAGCACGCCGATGGAAGGTTACGGCCAGACTTCGTGGAACTTTCACGTGAATGAGAAGCAAGGCGCCTTTTGCTCTCGAGCGGCGCGGTGTGAAATTTACAAGCGGCTGATGACAAAGAAATTAATGGTTGAAGAAGAAGAAGAAGAAGAAGAAGAAGAAGCGCAAAATTTAATTAATAATTCAAAGAGAATTACGGCACTTTCCAGTTACTCGTCGCGAGAGTTTGCAATCTTTGCTATTATGCGAAAAGTGACTTGCGAGAGATTAAGATGAACATCGATCACGCAGTTTTATCATCGGACATCGGACGGAAAAGTCGCGAATGCCGAAACTCGTTTCGATCGATGCTTAAGTATCAATTGGCACTTCACACATCTCCACATCTCCGATTCAAAACAGGTTGGATCGACGCACGATGGACTGTGATGGATATACCTTCATATTTAACTTTCACGGCACAACGGTGAAATGATCGCGGCACTCTCACTGAACTCACTGACCATCGTCATGGAATATATCCTCTCTTTATACCGACTCCCACCTTTGCCGATGATCAAGAAAGTGACGTCCACCTTGCCTTAGGGAATGATGCTCCTGCCAAAAATTCGTGCGGTTACGTCGTCGTATCCGAGATTGCTTTGTGAATAATAATTAAGTAGAATTTTATTACTTTCTAACACGTAATCAATGTTAGATAATTAAAGGGAGATTTTGATAAAAAAAAAAATCTAAACGATTCTCCGATTTTATTTTTAAATATCACCGAGTTTTGTGTTACGTTGCAAGATCGCTCCGCACCGCACTGTTCTGTACAAACAGAAATATAAAAATTCAAAATAAAATGTTTCATGATTAATAGCGAGTATTTTTTGCACTTTTTGTTCGCTTTTTTTTTACTCAACAATAAGTGCAAAGAGTGTTTTGTTAAAGATGATGACTTTGTAATCACTATAATACGCTCTGAATTTAATTAATATCTTAGATCAGCACTTCTAATAAGTATGATTAAAGAGCGACTAAGTAAAACGTATAAATAAATGATATCATATTTAGATTCGAACTAAAATGCGCTCGATAATCGGTGATTGACATCTTGGCTCAATTCCTCAATTTCTTCAATTAGCTTTTCATGATCTTCCTTAGGAATGATGGCTCCTTCGCATCTCTCGAATTAACTTGGGTCGCAGATTTTTGAAATTGCGCATCTCTATTTTTCGACATTCCACAAACAACACATAACCGAAGCTTCTCGGGTTTTTTTAAAATTAGGTAGCGTAACATATTTTTTTTTAATTGGATAGCTCTTTCTATTTACTTGCTTCTACATCATATAACATTGCAAATGCAACGACGCGTTTTTTCGGATATGTCGTAAGACGGAAACGCGACGACACAATGGAATGATCCGGATGTTGTTAGCTCTTTACCATGTCAGACTGTTAAGTATCGAATCGCTCATTTTCTTTCCTCGCGATTTCCGTCGCGCTAACTAAAACCTGTCATGAATACAGATCGAAATTCGCGACACTGAATGCAATTACGCGTGGTATCGGATGCACATTGCGAGGTAGAAAGGTGGAAAGGCGGAAGGATATGGGGTGTCGGGGTTTTGACAAAATTCACCAGTCGAATCACGCGAATGAAAGTCTCCAGATAAAGTGCGTATCGTCTTCTCTCGCTCATTAAACGAAAAGAGCTCTTACTCGTTAAACTCGCTCGTATTCATCTCTTCTTTTTTCATCTTTTACTATATGCACATATGTGGATTGTAATAAATCAATAAATCAATAGTGAAAGTATCTGCGACATATATCTAAAACTATAAAAATCGTTAAAACTCATGACAAATTTAATTCACGATATCTCTATACCTTATGCCGATTCGATTATAAATTAATTTAATATAGTTATACCTGAACCTGACATTCCTTACTTTCGATCATCGTACATCGTCCACGTTGAATAGAGCCAAAACCATTACTGCGCGATGATCCCTTTACCTCTGTTGTCTCTCCAACGACGTGGAATAGAAAGTATGTCGTTAGCAGACTCGTCGATTTATATCCCGATTGTAATTCGCGGGGAGCGCGGGGAGCCGATTAATCACGGATATAATTTACGAGCTATATTTTGTGTCCCGTGTAATAACAAGATGATTGCCATCAATTGTGATCTGTGCACCGGATTGTGACGGACTGGCAAAATTTTGCTCGCGGACGTTTCCTCTTTCTGACCGTTGAATTCGCAGTCACTCATTAGCGAGTAATCTATACATCTTTGATTTGTAATCGTTTGCACAGCACGTTTTCACTGGACATTGATTATTTTTATATAAGTTGCGATAGCATATGTCTTGTTAAATATTTATATTTACAGATGCATAAAATGACGTGAACAAAAACAGTTTTACTAACAGAACGATAATTCTGATTACATTCGGAGTTGCATCTTTTTTTTAATTAGACACAGTTCAAATATTATATAAGTAATAATAAAAAATAATAAATAATTGTAAGGAAATAAAAGTTCAATCAAAGATAAACAAAAAATCAAAAATATAACGTATTCATATAACAAATTGGATTTTAATCTTTCTCGTCTGTCGTAATATTTATTGCAAAATATCTTCACTTACCTAGTCGTTCCGCTTCTAATCTTGCTAACAATTGTTTATTGTTGAATCGGTAATTTATATAATAATAGCAAATTGCTATCAGATTAAACATCTCAATCATTGTCATCATTTTCCCTTCATTCCCTTCATTCTTCCCGTTGCGTTTTCTCATGCAAAGTCTTAGAAATTTCAATTGTATTATCTGTCCTCTTTCTTTTTTCTTGATGTATGAAAAGATCAATGATGATAAATATCATCAATTACCATTAAAAAAAATAATAAGAATGAAAAACTAATCTTTTCAACTTTGAATTTTGTTCTAAATCTTGGATATAATTTGTCAATGTAAAAAAATGAATTACTGGTAGTAAAAGAAAAAAAAGAAAAGTAGCAGTAGGAGGAAGCCAGGCATGATGAGGCCAGTATGAATAAAAATGCATATTGGCATAGTGAAAATATAGTAATAAAACATATTTATAGTAATATATATATATGCAATATATATATATATATATATATATATATATATATATA